CCCCTTCTCTCTAGTTCCCACTTTTGACTCTCCCAAGTCCATCTGCTGAGCCATCACCCTCCTGGCTATTCAATGTAAAACCCTTTCTCTCTCTGCACATCTATATGACAGTCCTGCCTGGGTTTTAGATTCTAACGTCATGGACTCTGACTACTAACCTGAAGTTCCCACTCTGTTCTTTTAGGCATGGAATGTTGCTGCAGAGTCATTTCTCTCTCCAGGATAGCCACCGATCTACCAGGTCCTGACTTTCGGCCTGTCATGTTAGGATCCCGGCACCAACTCCTGTGTATGGAACAGATCTGATGTCTTCTGATCATCTGCTAAATTTTCTTCTTCTTTCCACGACTCAAATCTTAGTTATTTCCACATTTGACTTGGAAGGTCTCCTTTCATAATTTTTTTTGCTAAGTCATATACCTAAATGTACTTTAATTATAGTAGTCAATACTGAGGGAGCTTAAAAAAGGGGGAATGCTAATGAAAGTGGGCTGAGCTACCGCAGGTACCCAGCTTGAGAGACACACACACCTCACAGTAGTCTGCATTCCCTTAGCATGTAGAGCACTTGCTTGGTTTTTATTTAGTTCCCTTTATAGGGCCTTCATGGATAATACTCTCTCCAGTTCCTGCATTTTATTAACTATTAGTGTCAGGAGTAGAGTTGGAGCAGGATTCTTCATCTTTCCCTTTGTTATTATGCAGAACCAATATAATTTGGGGACCTTACTGTAGGGCTGCTTGTTTCCCAGAAATCACAGTGTGAGTGTCCTTTGCATGCCCAAGCCAAGTGTGAGAGCCAGTGTCTATCCAACATTTATCACACAAGATGCTAATTCCCATAAGAGGAAGAAAAGAATACCAGCTAGGATTCCAGAAGCCTCAAAAGCTCTTCTGTTTCTCCTCCCTTAGTAAACTAGGTGCTTATTACAGGATAGGTGCTATGGTGGTGGAAGAAGAGCAGTGTCAAAGGTCACCATGGGTGTTTTTAGCCTACATAAATTTGGTAACAGTATCCTCTTTGGGATTATCTTCACTCATTACAAGTAATTCCTCATGTCACAGTGGACACTAAATTGTCAGTGGACACTGTGACGTGTCAGTACTTCTGAAGGTTCTGCAGGCTGTGCTGGTGGCTGTCTGGGAAGCCCTGAAGGTCACTGCTACTAAGACAGATTCTAGTAGGGTAAACACTTGTTAACATTTCATATGTATATTTCTTGTATTGTTATATTTTTTCTTTTTTATTTCCCCAGTTATATAGTAACTGAGATTAGTTCTTGTATTTCTATATAATCTCAGTGCCTAGAGCTCAATAACCAGAATACAGTATTTATTACATTAATTAACTAATTAAAAACACACAGGCATATATTTTGAAGTACTTAAACTTAACTTAAAAGTTAACTTTAACTTAAAAGATGAAAGTGTGATTGTCTAACAAACTTAGAAGTGTCAAAAGTTCCTGGTACCTCGAGCAGACCTCTGATATAGCCAACAGATATTATTAAAGGAGGTAATTTTGGATGTGGCATTTTGCATGTTTCAGCATGTTCATTAACCAGATACACATGATAGGCATATGTTAAATGACAGGGATCATTTCCTCCCTCTGGAATATGAAGCATGGTGTGAAAAAGAGAACTTCATCTTTGTGAAAAAAATAAAAGTGAAGAAACTTTATTTTCTAGGAATGTACTAAAAGCTAATAATTATGCACCTCTGTTGACACGCAGGTACAGGGAGGATGACAGGACACAAAGGGTACACCATGGCATGCACTCAGTTTGAGTGACAGACACTAGTTTGGAGAACTGCTCTTCTTTAAGAACACAAGAGCTGACTTATAGAATCTGAGGGTCACTGGTCACTTTAACCTTGAAAACAGCCATCAACATTCTACTCATAGTTACACCTACACTGATGAACTCACCATCAGCTCCTTGATCAATTTTCTTTTTATTGCAGCCTTGCCAATCATTTCCCTGCTATTTAAATTATTTTCATTGAAATCAGTTATGTTACATTTACATTTACAAGATTTAATCCATTCAGATATTTTAATGTCCATATTAAACTGTGCCAACTGGAGCTTCTGCTACTTTTATTTTCTTTTGTGGTCATTATTTCTATCAAGTCTACATGGTACTGCTCTGAGTTTGTGAAGCAGAGAGTCTCAGAGAGAAAACAGAGTGAGAGGAGAGAGAGACACAACGGAAGAAGCAAATAGAGAAAAGCAGGCTGCAGCTGTGCTGGAGCCTTACCCTCTCAGCACAGAGGTACATTGCTGGGTCAAAATATGCCTGGTTTTTATGTTGAAAACATCTCTCAGGAATTATGGCACCAGCACACAGCATGGGGAAGTGGATCTGTCTTAAGAATGATGCTGTAAAATCTACTCAAGGGGGGCTGCTTGATCACTGTAATCTGAAGTGTTTTTTTCTGAAGTGTCACCTGGGGACATTTTTTCATTGTTTGTTAGAGAAAGAGGAAAGGAGAGAGGAAGGAAGAGAGAGAAACATTGGTTCGTTGCTTCTCATATGAACCCAGACTGGGGTCATACGCACCTGGACTGGGTATCGAACATGCAACTTAGGTATGTGCCCTGACTTAGAATTGAACCCTCAACTTCTAGTTAGAGGATGATGCTCCAGCCAACTGAGACACACTGGCCCAGGTTAATGTGAAGTTTTTGATGATGTTAACAGGCCTGTTGCATAGTTCTCACATAGAGTGTCTGTTTTCCTTCTCTAAATCAGTGGTTCTCAAAGTATGGCCCCTGATGTACAAAGCTATTTTTATAGTAGTGATAACAACAAAATAATCATACTAAAGATAATAAAACTCTGTTGGCATTGTCACTAAGGAAGCAAAAGTGATGGTGGGTGAGACTGCTGGCGTGTTACCATGAAAGCAGAGCGGCGGCACGAACTGCACCGTCTCCCTGTTTTCACCACCACGTACTTGCCACCAAGTGCTGTCACTTTCAAGGAAGAATGTCCTTAATGAACAGTAAAAAGTATTAATTTTGCCAAAACTCAACACTTAGGTACAGGTCTTCTTCTTTTTTTAATATTTAAAATAACTTTATAAGTTGTCTTTTATTTATTTCTTTGTTTAGGTGATATTTCTTATTTTTAATTTCTTTTTCCAGAAAGGTAATTTTCTAGTTTTCTAGAAAACATTTTTTCCTTGAAGACAGTCTCCCAAAGGGCCTCATAGAGAGTTACATACAGGTTCTAACACAGATAATGCTCCCTTTTTATTATAAAATCACAAGCATGCGATTCTGTAACATAACAATGTCACACTTAAGCACACCACATGACATTTTAGGTAAAATGTTCAAACTAAAACTATAAATTATTACATCCATATTATTACCCTACTATTTACACTCAATCAAGTGTTATCTCTGCTGGACGTTGTATTTGGCTCAGTAGGCTGGGCTCTCCCACATAGCAAAAGGTCTCAGGTTCGATTCTTGGCCAGGGCACATGTCTGGGTTGCAAACTTGTACCCGACTGGGGTCCATGTGAGAGGCCTCTGATTGATGTTCCTCTCACACATCAGTCTCTCCATCTCTTTCTCCCTCCCTTCCACTCTCTCTAAAATTAAATAAATAAAATCTAAGAACAAAACAAAACAAAACAAAACAAAAAAACCCAGGTGTTTCTAATCCTCTGTGTGACCACGTGGGAAATGTACACAAAGCTGTGTGCTAAACTCATGGTTGTTCTGAGGAATAGCATTTGCTGACTGTTCAAAGAACTAAACCACCCACTTTTTCACTGAGTCCCATTCCTAGGAAGAACAACAGACTTCCCTTGGCTGTGCTGACTAAGTGATCTGGTGGACATTTTCTCAAAATGGGTGAAGTGAATCTGTCTCTTCCAGGGAAACAACTGACTGTTCTGTGGCTGATGATAAAATTTGTACATTTAAATAAAAATTAGAATTCTGGAAAACTTGCATCTACCACCTTGATAGATTTCCAGTACTTGAAACCTTCTCTGATGAGAATGGTGTGAGATGAACAAAAGTGAATTTTTTTGATTCTGTATGTTGAAATTTGTCAAACTTGAGAAGATCTGCATAATTGAAAATGTTCCACATGATCAATGCATGATCCCATAAATCACACGTGTAAAGTCTAATGTGTAAAACAAATTAACAGACTTTAGTATAACAGATTATGAAAAGGTCATTAAAATAATTTCAGATTCCATATAAAACATCTTTAATAAAAAAACTATTGCTTTATTAGCAGTACCAGAGAATATTCAAAATTATGTGAAGTGATTATTAAAAACTCCTCCCTTTTCTAAATACATAACTCTATGGAAGGCCAATTTTCTTCATGTACTTCAACCAAAACAACATATTGCAAAAGAGAAAATGAAGAAGCAAATATTAAGCTGTATCTTAAAGGAATTTACAAAACAATGTTTTTTCATAAAATATATAGCACATGTATTTATTTATAAAACATATAATATAAAAATATAAATAATAAAAGTTTAATTATTAAAATATTTTTAAAGTTTCTCTTAAAAATTATTAAATTAATCAATAAATACTGAAAGATATAATCCAAAGAAACCAAAGCTCTTTGGGTCCAGTTTTAACATGTAAGGAATGCTGAGACCACAGGGTTTTGGGAACCATTGTTCTTCCTTGATGAGTAAATTCTTGGAGCAGCATTTCTCAAAGTGTTTCTTCCAAAACACTAATTTCATGATATGATTCATAATAAAAGGGCTCTACTCTGGAATAAATTCAGAAAATTTAGAGAATCATAACATATGCCATTCTTGGAGAGCTTCGATATATATTAGCCTGTTAGATGCTCAAAGAATCACTGCTATGCTGCATTTATTTCACCTTCCTTAGTCCAGTGTTTCCTTATGTTTTGTTAGGAAGTCTGTGAGAGCAGAACACTCTGGTTACCTGACCTTGGAGAAGGGGTGGTAGAACTGTGGAAATCATTCATAACTTACCTTCAAGCCGGACCACCAGGGGCACCTTAAGTTCCAGCTCCCGGCAGGCTTTGGTGATCCCATTAGCAATGATGGCACAGTTCACAATTCCACCAAAAATATTGACGAGGATGGCTTCAACCTGAACTCAAAAACAGAAGGGTGTCCATCAAAATGCTGATAGTCAACATTCTCGATAATAAGTGGCTGAACAATAGAGACCATTCAAAAAGACTGCTTTTTAACACAGAATATGAAATATAAAACAAAAGACTTAGAAAATATTAAGAAAGTTAAAAGTTAGTAGTAAACTAATAAATATCAGTATACAACATTATTATATTAACCCATATTATCCCATCAATCATGCCTCTGAACTCAAAGTGAATTCAATCACCACTCATTTATTATACATTGTCTTCTGCTTTTTCTTATGTACTTGTCTGGAACTATTTTTTTATGAGTAGCATCATATAAAATTTCATGCACTAATGTCTTTTCTCCCCATGGTTTATGCTTAAATTTATCTGTCATGGTGCCTTGTAGAATATTTCAAAAGTAGCAACTTATTATTTGTTGTTTCATACTCACAGGCAAAGCTAGAAACTTTTCCATGCTTCTTTAATATCATTTTGATATGCAAGAGGTACACACTCAAAAGTCAGAGATAGCTTAATTTTCTTAGATAACATCCTTTTTGATAAAAAAAAAATGACAGAGATCTCCAAAAGAAAGATATACAAGTTCATACTATAAGTTAGGATATAAGGAAAGTCAAGCCACTGACTGAAATTTTTTAGAAATGTAAATTTAAACCCATCATGTTAACCTGTTTGTGCATATTCCATATTCAAAGGTGTGTGGGCAAAAAAAAATTACTTGTCTTGATTTGATAAATAGGTATAAGAAAATCCTTCATAATTAACATGAAGAACAAGATAATGAAGAGAATTCATTACGTAGATTAATTGATAACACCCACAGAAAAATGGTTATTCATCAAGCTGGAGGCATCAAAATTCCAACAATAGAATCACAATTAAATTATGTTGCACTAACTTCAGAGCACATATGAGTGCGCTGCTTGCCAGTTTAAATCCCATTATTTCAATATGCTAAGTTAACTACACAAAGCACGTGAGAAGAGTGCCTTACATTTGTTCAGCACTTAACAGTTTAGAAACTGCCGTTATATGCACCCTCATTTTTAAACAATCCTCACTGGAGGGTATGCTTACTGATTTTTAGAGAGGGAGGGAGGGAGGGGATGAGGAAGAGAGAAACATAAATTGGTTGCCTCCCGTACATGCTCCAACCAGAGATTGAAACTACAACCTAGATATGTGCTCTGACCAGGAACCAAACCCGCAACCTTTTGGTGTATTGGACTACACTCCAATCAACTGAGCCTCCTGGCCAGGGCTGAACCGTTTTTAAATTTTGATCCTTGCCAGAAAGCTATTCAGGAGGTACAGGGAAGGTGAGCCCTCTAAAGTTGAGAAAGACATTCAGAGAACTCACATGATGTGTCCCAAGGTCACAAAGCTAATATGTAGCAGTGGTGAAGCTCAAAGAAAGCTCTCCAGAACACCTATCAATTTTTCATTCATGCCAGCTGTTAGAGCTGGGATCTAGGTACACAGCACATGGACAAGGTACATACCTTGTCTTGAACACAGTTTCTTCATCTATACAATGGGAATAATAGTACCTGGTCTCTAAGTTTGTTGAAAGGACTAAATGAGAATACTGCATATATGAAGTGTTTAGTACATGCCTGTAAAGCACTTAATTAATAATTATATATGCATTTATTTCTTTTATTTTAAATTCTCATCCTCCTACCCTCCTCTTCCTTGGCAACCATCAGGTCGTTCTCTGCATCTGTGGGTCTATTACTATTATGTTTTGTTTGTTGTTGTTTTCAAAACTCCACATTTAAGTGAAGTTATATGCATTTGTCTTTGACTGATTTCACTTATCATAATACCCTCTACATCCATCCATGTTATTGCAGATGGCAAAATTTCATTCTTTTTATTTCTGAATAATATTCCATTGTATGTATATATACCTCATCATCTTCATCCACTCATGTATTGATAAGACACTTGGGTCCCTTCCAAACCTTGGCTATTGTAATAGTGCAGCACTCAACAGAGTGGTGCATGGATCTTTTCGAATTAGTGTTTTGCTTTGGATAACTACCTGGGAATGGAACTGCTGAGTCATGTGGCAGCTCTGTTTTTAATTTTTTGAAGAGTCTGCATATTGTTTTCCATAGTGGCTACAATATACATGCATTTATTTCAACAAGCAATGATGAAAGTGGTCAGGCTACCTAAACAGCAAGTAAAAATTAAGAAAACCTTTCAGTGGATTGCAGCTATGTTGTATTCAAATAGAAAAATAAACTTACTGACATTCAATAAATAGGTAATGACTTAAGAAAATAAATGAGCAATGTTTTTGAAACCAATTACAGATTGGGGCTACTCCCTAAAAAGAAATCTCTCATTACCATTCACAGCAGGCTGACTGGTAAGCAGAAGCTTGCTTTCTAATAACAGCTTTTAGATGCTGTTAGCACAGAGGCTTGTTATAGCAGCTGTTTCCAAATAGCTATGGGATGGAGAGGAACTTGCCAGGGTAATGAAAGAAGCAACATTCAAGAGCAATGCTGACTCCATGGGTCCCAGAGAGGAACTCAGGACCAGGAATGGCCAAGGCTCACTCAGGTTTGTGCAGAACCACACTCTCCAGTAAAGCTCACTCTGGCACGTGAACACCTAGGCCATGTTCCTACCAGTATGGTGTTCAAGGCTGAGTTCAGATATCAATTACTTCTCAGTGAGGTCATCCCATATCATCATCTCAGAGTGATTACTCTGTTAGTCTATTTCAAACAGTAGGATTCCTCTGTGGAGTAGCTGTATCACATACAACATGCTTACATGAATTCACCTATACAGGGAGGAGAGGGGGGCAGAAGGTGACATGATGTGTGTGGCTCTGTGATTCAATCTACTCAGTGGGGGTGCATCCTGGAAGGAGTGACAAATATGAGCTGTGGATCTGGTGTTGCCTTAGGTGGTATCAGTTCCCATGAGTCTCTTACATATTAGCATCTCATTGTGTTTAATGAATATCTGACATTAAAAATAGATACTCTTCATATGATAACCACTTCAAATGGTACTGAACCTGAGGAAAAGCCCTCTTCCAACCATGGAGTAATAATGGGCTCTGCTAGGCTTACTGAAAAGTGGACTGTCGTTCTCCAATGTAGTTTATTCACCTCTGGCCCTGCACCCACCCCTAAAATGCAACGCTCCTGTGTGGGTCACCTTTGCACTCCTCTCCAATAGGACTGTGCAGTGTTTCCATCAGCAGCTAGTGCAGTCCATGACAGAGTGTAATCATCTAATAAATAAATGTCAAGAATGAATGAATTAAATCAATTTCAACAGACATTCACTGGCAATCATCTTTGCACCAGGTACAGAGTTAAGAACTTGGGACAAGGAGATAAATAAGGTATCATTGTTGTCAAGGAATACAGACTAGTTTGAGAGCCAGACCAGGAAACCAGCAGTTACAATCCTGGTTTTAAAGATGTCTCAGAGACAAGATGAGGGCAGGGCTAGGGATACAGGCTGTTGTGACAAGAGGCTTCTTGAAGAGGTGATGTTCTAGTAGATGAAGGGAAGGAAAGAGCAAGAACTTGGGTAGAAGGGAGCAGCCACGATGAAGGCAGGACTGTCATCTAACTTGGTGCATTCAGGAACTACAGGTTGAATGAGAAGTAACCTGAGATGCTGCAGGCCAGGTGGAGTGGCAGGGGCCAGGGCCTGGGACCAGGATGAGAACTTGGCTCTTCTCACTTATTTCTCCTTTTTCCAGTGAAGTCTTTAAAGTAACCTCCCTTGAGGGACAGGGGAGGAGTGACTGGAAAGAGAGGGAATGAGGGATGGAGAGAAGCGATGTACAGGAGATATAGAGTGACCGTGTGAGGGTGGTGGGAGTGAGAGAATGAGTGAGAGCAAGAAAGAAATCAGTAAGAGAGGAAAGGAGGGAGGGAAGAAGGAGACAGAGGGAAATACAAGAGACAGAAAAGCAGGGAGAAAGGGAGAATGAAGGAAGAGAGTTGGAGTGAAACCAACAAAGCAGGATTTGTACAAGAAGAACAATAATACACATATGCACAGGCTGCTTAGCTGAGGAAGCAGGTTCTCAGGAAGCTGTGTACCACAGAGCACCAAGAGGAAACCACCACGGGGTGGGGGTTAGGAAGACCCTACTCCACCAGAGATGATTCCCTTCTCGTCCACTCTAAAGTAATTTGCTGCAGTCTACACTTTAATGAAAATCTGATTTAAGTTTCACTCTGGGCCCATTTCTATAATTAACTGCTGTAATCTGCAACCTCAAACTGAGAATGAAATTAAGACAGTTAGAAAATGAAAGCATTGTGACATCATCATTATTATTTAGCATTTATAGTGCATGTCAGATTTTCGATGTGTGCCTCATGGTCCATTCATTATCACAACTACTAATTGCCATTCCTTGACAATACCAATAGCAATTTTAATAGTCTTTTTTTTTCTTAACAAAGATAATGTTAAAAAAAGTTTGCACTTTGGTCTATGTAAGTACCCAGAGACCAGAAGATCTTTAAGTGCTTTGGCAAGGAGGCTTTCCAAATTCTCAGGTGGGAATCACAAGGGCTGCTATTTGTTGTTTCTCAAAAGTAAAGATCACCCAGTGGGGCTGTTGCAGTGCCAGGTACACTGCACACATCACAGACCCCTGGCCAGGTGGGTGGCAGCTGTAGGCAGCTGTGCAGGTGGGCACGCAGCCCAAACGCAGGCTTTTACATAGCTGTGTCTGTTTGGCTTGGCAAAATATGCACTCTAGCTGCAGATTTTAGTCAACAATTTAAAGTAAAGAATGAAACTCAAAAAAGAAAAGCAGTAACAGACTTTAATATTTAACAAACTCCTCTCAACCTGAAATAAACAAACCAATAAAAACCATGACTAAAGCCTTTTATAGGGAACATAATCATTTTCAGTATCTGATGAACATTAGGGAACCCCAGTCAAATAAATTCACACACAAAACAATTTTAGGGGACAG